TTACTTGTCCTCTACACTAGGGGTCAACCGATATTGATTTTTTGGAACCGACACTGATTATTGTACCGATATTATGTTTACATGCAGTTGCTGGTGCCTGATATTGGCTGACCTCCGCCCCATTCAGGATCCCGTAGCCGGCAGCTGAATGTAAACAGCAGGCAGGGGGCAGTGCAATAGCCAGCCTACTATTAACTATTGCAAAATGCAATAGCAGGATGGCTATTAAACCCACCCACTGCCTGCTGTCAATCAGCAGAGGAGCGGACCTGAAGAAGAAAGTTCTCCTTCAGGTCCGCTCCCCCTGATCATCGATCTGCAGTGGATGGGAGCAATAGCCAATCTGCTATTGGCTATTGCAAATTGCAAAAATATTGCAATTGATTGACAGCAGGCAGTGGGTGGGTGCAATACCCAGCCTGCTATTGGCTATTACACTTTGAAGTAGCCAACAGCAGGCTGGTTATTACTGCTATCTCGTGTTTTATTTTTCTGTATTATGAATTAATAAAAATTCTGGGATACACACTTGTTATTCATTTATCTCTAAGAGCATTAACCTCGATCTGTGACTAAAACCATTAGTCATTACAAAAAATTTCACCCCGTAAAGAATAGAATGGCTGCAAAGTAGTTACAACTGTACTTCACCGACCAAATGAGCTAAAAAAGGGAATTGTCCCAAGTAAGCAGCACTTTAAAAATATGTACCACAACTTCTTCCTGTACAAACAGCCGCAAACAGATGTCTATTATATTTACTAAATTATGGGTAGTCTCCCTGTGTATACCTAGTTTTACACCTCTCCCCCTAGTTGCATAATTAACAAAACATAAGAGGTTATAAGGGTTTCTGCAGAGGTGTAAATGACCGTCCAAGAGAGATATGTTAAAAGAATACTCAAAATGTATTACTATTATATACTTGTATAATTACATACATGATTCAAAACAATCTTAATAAAAATCAATACCCTGCAGAGGATACATAGGTATATTCATTATTATCAACTCTAGAATTCATTTGGTCCGACAATTCATTATATTGTTCAATGTAATTCCGATGTGGTTACATTATTATAACCAGATGGTAGTTTTCAAAGCATGGTTTAACTTAATAGGCCCCGACGCGTTTCGCCATGGGCTTCATCAGGGGAACCCATAGAGGATGAATATATTGATAAGAAGATTTTCTTCGTTTATATATACATCATATCTGACATTCATTAATGCATACGTTTATATCTATTGTTCATACATAATCATTTTCCTAAATGTGACTCCAACTGGGTCAGATAAATCATATATAGTTGCTCTGAGGGCCGTTACTCACCATGCCGGGTTGATCTACGGTATGAGGGAGATGTCTATTATAGTATTAGACCAGGAAATATTCTCTCTTTTTCAACCTGTATTTGTGCATGATTCTCCATTCAAGCAGAAGTACATCATTCCACACAGGAAACGCTCCTTTTTCACAGATCTTTCCGCAATAAGTCTGTGTATCTCTGCACAGCAGTAAATCTCTGTATAGCAAGCTGGTAACAATGTAATCTTCCCCCCACTCTAATAACAACTTGTATCAAACTTCATAATGTATTACTATTATATACTTGTATAATTACATACATGATTCAAAACAATCTTAATAAAAATCAATACCCTGCAGAGGATACATAGGTATATTCATTATTATCAACTCTAGAATTCATTTGGTCCGACAATTCATTATATTGTTCAATGTAATTCCGATGTGGTTACATTAT